TTATATTTATATTTATATACATATATTCACACATATATATATATTTATATATATACATGTATACACACACACACACACACACATATATATATATATATGTGTGTATGTGTATATATTGAGATATATATATGTATTTATATGTATATATATATGTGTGTATATATGAGTATATATATATATACATACATATATCTATATATACATATATATATATATGTATATATATGTATATATACACGCGCACACACACACACAAACACATATATTTATATATATATATATCTATATCTATATATATATATGTACTCAGATGTATAAGTTGAACCTGTACATACCTACTATCACACTCGCTACTGAGCAGACAAGCCACATTGGGCGTGATTTAGAGGACGAGGAAGAGCTCAAGGACGAAGCTGATTGGATCTACGCCAACGCGTTCATAGGTACAGCCATTGAGCCTGGGCGTAATCCTGACCTGGACTCAAAGGCCACAGAAGATATCCTCAATGTGTTAACGTATGTGTGAGTGTGTGAATATACGTTTTGTGTGGTTCGATACCCAACGCAGCACCTGCACGTGTTGTGGTCGGTGTTGTGGTACGGAATGTCCAGAAAAGCCCAAAATGTCTAGTACAGGTGCAGCCCTTGAGGTGCATGTCCAAGGTGGGGTTTTGGGGTGTTTGGGGGTTAAGTTGTTATTGGAGTTTATGCAGATGTACAGGTGTTGTATACACGCATGTATTGAGTAGGCCTCTATGACCAGGGCGTTCAACAACCGAAACATATTGCCTTGCATACGTTCAAACATGTGCACGAGCCGAGGTGACTCTCAGTATAGGAATCCGTTTGTGGATAACCGTACATACATCGTTTGTGGATAACCGTACATACACGTGTTCGCGTATGTCCCGAGGTGTGCAATCGTTCAGATTTCTGTGTGGTATTGTCCATCTGAACGCATACGTTGCAGACCCAAAGATTGAATCGATGTGTATATATATGTTATGCTGTCGAGTCTAGCGCTCGGGTGTATGGTATAAATAAACCCACACGGACGACATACAATCACATTGTTAATCCACCCCATACCACACACTCACCTCCTTGCTACACCGATTTCACAGGTACATGCGCAAGGACCACTACGACACACCCTTCATCAAGATGTATCGCAAAGAGTACTACCGCAACACACTCGAAGACGGTGATCTGTGGGAGATATGGGATTGGGACGCTCGGTGGAAGTCCTTCCACGAATTGCGCACCAATTTTGTGGAGCGTTACAACCAAATAAGCGCCATTCAGGCCGAGATGTTGGCGGTAGGTGTGCCTGCTGTGTAGGTGTGCCTGTTGTGTGGCTGTGTCTTTTGACGTTAGTGTATTGGGTACATGTGTATACAGTTGGGGCTAGTTGTGGTAGATGGTTTCTTTACTGGTGATGGTGGTGGTTGTCAGCGTGTTGCTTTACCCGTACTGGCTGAGAGCGTGTAGGTGTATACTACACGCGGTAGTATCGTTTGTGTTTTTATAACCAAGCATATG